ATGTTTAATGATAATGCCAGTTATCCATATCCTCAATATTGGGGAAGAATTTACCTTTGAATGTTACACGGTCGTTGTTTCCGGCCAATTTGGCCAAGGCGGTAATGTCCAGAATAAGGCGGAATATGTTAGTCTTTAGAAGAGCGGAATGTAAAAAATATTTTTAACAACCAAAATTTGTGTCGGATACTAATTTTTTTAAATGGATGTTAGCACAAAAAATATTTTTTCAATTACTAAGAAAGCGAGGATTTTAGATTTAGCTATATATTTTAAAAAGATTTATTAGAGAATTACTTCGTTAGCGAATGTGGGAAATATTTAAAAACCTGCATATGTCAGAAAAAAAATCAATTAAATTTGAGTACCATTTAGTACCAAATATTATGATTCGAGCTCTAAAGGTTCACCCAAATCCAAATTTTACCAAATTCAATTCCATTTAGCACACATTATTTCCAAAAGTACCCAACACTTCCAATATACCCCGATCCTACACCCCCACAATGATTCCAAATTCAAATGTCAGGATTCCAACTCTATTGGTTTACACACAATTTAAATTGTACGAAATTTAGTACACAGTAGTACGAATTTTCAAAACTTCCTACTTAACCCGAACCTACACGGCCACAGCGATCCTTAATCCAACTTTAAGGATTCCAACTCTATCGGTTCACCAAAAATTCAAATTGCACCAAATTTCCTACATACGCCAATCCTACGCCGCCACGGTGATACTAAATCCAAGTTTCAATTCCACTTCTATCGGTTCACACACAATTCAAATGGTACTAAATTTATTACACATTAGTAAAAATTTCTGAAACTTTGATGTTGATTTTATAGTTTAAAATAGACGTGGCTAAGGTGATCATTCTGTTGTTGAGAAGATCGAGGCCAATCAAATTGTGAATCTTTGTTTCAGAACATATCTGTTGTTTATTTCGAAATCTATAGAAGCTTGACTTTTTAATATATAACAGACAGTTGTGAAAGCTATATACTCAATAAACTCCATTTGGTTTTCTAGAGCAAACCTCCTCATATAAATCAAGACTTGTTATGTCAAACTTTATCTGTTTTTACCTTGAACATAAATTCAGAGATATTATGAAGATATCTTCATTTTTTGTTATATGTATAACTTATTTAATATGTTAATTGAATAAATTAAAATATATATGTATATATTATAACTTAAGCATACAAATTTCTAAGCCTATTGGACTATTAGGAACAGACATTTGCAAAAAAAAAGAAAAAAACAATCTCCACTAGATTTGTTTCCATGTGTATTACACACACACGAAGCATAAAAGACCGGCACAATCTACATATGCCGAAATTGTTGTTGTTTTTTTTTAATGGCAAAATATATACACATTTGCACATATGTTCATACACACCGGCAAAAGCCAGACATGTTTGTCTACATTAACGAATTTTGAAAAACGTGATTTTTGTGAATAGAAATAAAAAGAAGCAAATCTGCTGGCAACAAAATTAAAAAAAGACGAGCCCCCACCAAATTGTTAATGTATTTCGTTTTTGGTAGTCCACATGGTTTGCATATCTCTTGTTTGTTGCGTGTGTGTGTGTGTGTGTGTGCGGATTTTTTATTAGTCTAGACGGGCGGGCCCACTCACTCATACTTAACATGTGGACTGTTTTTGTCACTGATAACAAAGTTCGATTTACATTATGGCATAAACCAGATTGATCTTGATAAAAAACATAGAACATATTTTGTTGCCTACGGTAGTAGCCAAAAAATAGGTCACAGGTTTTTTTATGATGATGAAAAATTGCACATGTGTTTTTTTATCTAACCTTCTATTTCCTTTTTTCCTCCTCCTCCTTACAGCCATCCCACATCATGCGCCTCAATTGCCGAAATTTTGTCGGTATTGTTTTTCAATACCATGCGTTTAAATTTGAAATTCCCCCGCGATCCCTCCAGTGATCGTTTGGTTTTGTCGAAGGGTCATGCTGCACCAATTCTGTATGCTGCCTGGGCTGAGGCTGGTCTTTTCCCAGTTGAGGAATTGCAAAATTTGCGTAAAATCGACAGCGATTTGGAGGGTCATCCCACACCCCGTTTGAATTTCATCGATGTTGGTACCGGTTCATTGGGTCAGGGTGTTGCTGTTGCTGCCGGTATGGCCTATGTTGGCAAGAATTTCGACAAGGCTGACTATAGGTAAGGAGTTATGGCGCCTGCAATTGTTTTCCAATGAAAAAAATCTTTGTTTTACAGAACCTATGTCGTTGTTGGTGATGGCGAATCCGCTGAAGGTTCCATTTGGGAATCTCTACACTTTGCTGGCCACTACAAATTGGACAATTTGTGTGTCATCTTCGATGTAAATCGTTTGGGCCAATCTGAAGCCACCTCTTTGCAACATCAAATGGATGTTTACCGCAAACGTTTGGAAGCTTTCGGCTTCAACGCCCTCGTTGTCGACGGCCACGATGTTGAGGAATTGTGCAAGGCCTTCCACGAAGCTGCCAATACCAAAAATCAACCCACTGCCATTATTGCCAAAACCTTCAAAGGTAAATTCTTCCCCAACATTGAAGATTTGGATAACTGGCATGGCAAGCCCTTGGGCGATAAGGCCAATGAGGTCATTAAACATTTGCAAGGTTTGATGGTTGACTCTTCAGCCAGACCACCAGCATTGGCTCCCCAAACACCCACCAAGTGCAAGCCAGCACCCCCAGTTGATATTACCAAGGTGCAATTGTCGTCACCACCCAACTACAAGCTGGGAGAACAAGTTGCCACCCGTTTGGCTTACGGTACCGCTTTGGCCAAATTGGCCGAAAACAACGACCGTGTCATTGCCTTGGATGGTGATACCAAGAACTCGACTTTCTCCGATAAATTGAAGAAGGCCTTCCCCGAACGTTACATCGAATGTTTCATTGCCGAACAGAATTTGGTTGGTGTTACCATTGGTGCTGCTTGCCGTGATCGTACCATTGCTTTTGCCTCCACCTTTGCCACCTTCTTCACCCGTGCTTTTGATCAAATTCGTATGGGTGCCATTTCCCAAACTAATGCCAACTTTGCCGGCTCCCATTGCGGTGTCAGCATTGGTGAAGATGGTCCCTCTCAAATGGGTTTGGAAGATATTGCCATGTTCCGTGTCATTCCCGGCAGTACTGTCTTCTATCCTTCGGATGCTGTCAGTTGCGAACGTGCCGTAGAATTGGCTGCTGTCACCAAGGGCATTTGCTTCATTCGTACTTCGCGTCCCAACACCGCTGTTTTGTACGAGAACAATGAACCCTTCGCCATTGGCAAGGGTAAGGTGGTTAAACAATCGGCCAACGATCAAGTTTTGCTCATTGGTGCTGGTGTCACTTTGCATGAGTGCTTGAAGGCTGCCGCTGAATTGGAGAAGGCCGGTGTACATGCCCGTGTTGTTGATCCCTTCACTGTTAAGCCATTGGATGTTGATTTAATTGTAGAACATGGACGTGCCTGTGGTGGTCGCATTGTTGTTGTAGAAGATCACTACCAGTGAGTATATCGAAAGGCATTTCATTTATTTTTGAAATATATTTATGTTTGTTATTCTCTTTTTTCCTACAGACAAGGTGGTTTGGGTGAAGCTGTCCTCTCAGCCTTGGCCGACAAACGTGATTTCGTTGTCAAACATTTGTATGTACCCGGTGTACCACGTTCCGGCCCACCCACCGTACTTTTGGATGTCTTTGGCATCTCGGCTCGCCATGTTGTTGATGCTGCCAATGCTGTTTTGAAATTGTAAATTGTGCGCAAATGAATCTAAAGCCCCCAACTAGCGCAGGGCTTGTTAATATCTTACCTTACACTAAGTGTTTATATTTACGTTATTTTTATTATACCTTCCCCCTACATATCCATATATATAGTTTGTGGGGGGTTATAATATATTATGGTTGTTAGCACAAACAAAATACTAAAAAAACAAAAACATTTATTTCATTCCTAACATTTTGTATCTCCTTCCGGTAATGCATTTATATGGCATTCAATATTGCATTTCTTTCATAACTATTTTTATATACCTATGTTTATAAAATAATACATCATTTTGTATCAAATGTACAAATATCCGATTTTCAGAATCTTTCAAAAATATATTTGAAATACACACAAAAATCTAAGATGTTGTTTTTATATGGACGCATAAGTACATTCCGAACTTATGAGAAACATAAGTACGGGATCTGAAAATTATATCATGACCGACCTTCATGGACCTATTTCTATGGGGGTTATATTGACAAATTTGGGCCGGGAAATTGCTTATCCTTTGAGAATACAAAAAAACTGCTAGAAGTTCAAAAATATCGAAATTTGGGTTTGTTATGTGGGCCAAAACATGGACTTACATTATTCTTTGGAACGGCGCAATGCCTAATTATATACACAACGGTTCATCTTCGATGTAAATCGTTTGGGCCAATCTGAAGCCACCTCCTTGCAACATCAAATGGATGTTTACCGCAAGCGTTTGGAAGCTTTCGGTTTCAACGACCTGGTTGTCGGCGGACATGATGATAAGTAATTGTGCAAGGCCTTCCATGAGCTGCCAATACCAAAAATCAACCCATTGCTATTATTGCCAAAACCTTCAAAGGTAAATTCTTCCCCAACATTGAGGATTGGGATAACTGGCATGGCAAACCTTTGGGCGATAAATCCAATGAGGTCATTAAACATTTGCAAGGTTTGATACCACCAGCAGTACGGTCGGTCACTCTATCATTGATCCTATATCGTAAAGCATACAAAAAATTTTAATATTTATTTTTTTGTGGTATAAAAAATGTTTATTCTTAACATGGATAAATGTAGAATGGGAGAGAATAAAATAAAAAACAAATTATTAAATATGAGTGCAAAAAGAATAACTATTTTTTTTTAATAACAGAAAAAATGTGAATGTGAATATAATAATAATATCGCCACATTAACCAGCCAACTTCGACGACGGCAGACAAACAATTTAAGGAACTTCAACTTGTATAGATTTCAATACAGCCTTTTCAGCCTCCGACAAATGGCTGGCAAACATGGGGAAATGTTCACTACTTGAAAAGTTTTGTAAAAATTTGGTAAGATTTTCTTCCATGTTGGCTTGGAATAATGGATCCTTGAGCAGCTCCTGGGTTAGTTGATCGTCATCGGTGTTATCGTCATCATCATCGTTGAAATAAAGATCGGAAATGAAGCGAGCCTTGGGTGGTGAGCTGCCAGATGGCTTGTCGGTGAGACCACCCCCTGAGGATGGATCATCATCTTCTTCCGAATCAGTCTCATAATCATCTAAATTAGCTTCTTTAAGATGGCACAGCTCATTGATAAGTAATTTATACATTTTCACCAAGGCCGGTATGGTTACCCATTGATGGTTGGCATTCGATTGGGAACGTGTTTTAATGCGAGGTGTATTGTTGGCAGCCTCATTGATGACCATATCTTTAACGTTCACCGATGTTAAACGTGGGTCTTGTGTGGTAACACCGTACTCGAAAAGTTTGCACAAAGCCATGGTGGTTACTTTGCGTTCATATGTGCCAAAGAAGGAGGTCTGTTTGGGCAACCAATTACTGAACACAAAATGCATTGCTGGTTCTCCAGTTGGTCCTGGCACTGTGGACAAGAAATTCAATACAGCATCCATTTGTGTAAGAAACAAATGGGCAAAGACCACCACTAAACTCATAATAACTTTGAGGCATTCCACCAACTGCATTTTACTGATGACTGCCTTCAGGAGCAGATCAACATTTTCACCCAACATATTACCCATTTTGGTGATTATGGTAATGACCAAACGACCGATTTGCCCAGCAGTCATTTCATTGTTCATTGGATTCAAGAGCATTGTGGTCAATTCCATGGTGTAATTTAGGCCTTCGCCATTGTTGTAGGTGCAAATTTGTTCGGGAGAGACAAATATGAAAGCTCTCAGACATTCACCGCCAGCCACCATAACGGCTTGATCATCGGAGCGACGTACACAGTGTATCATGGCAGGGAAGGCATTTTCCACCAAAGCAGCTGGCAACGGCGCTTGTGAATACCGTACAATGGTGGTTAAGACATCCAAAGCTATATCTTGTTTTGCGGCATTTGCCTGATCACCCTGTAGCGATAGAATGCTAACAATGGTTGGAATGAATTTCTCCTGCAATGGTTGAAGGCAATGAGGATTTTGGCAAAGGACCTTAATTACATCTTGTACGGTTTCCAAAATGAATGGATCTTCGGGATACTTCAAAAATACTGCAATTGTTAGGGGAATAATTTTCGTTTGAGCTTGAGCAGCAAATGCTGGATCGAACTGTGTAAGAAGAAATTGAAGAAATGGGGTTTGAGTTATTACGAAAACTAAAGAGATTTTGAAATTTATGAAACTTACCGTTATAATTGTCGTCAAGGCTTCCAAAAGCATTGCCAAAACGGAACTCTTGCAGCCGGGTATTAGGCTCATAATACCCTCAACAAAGCCTGGTAATTTAGCTTGTATCAAAGCACGTTTTTCACCATCCGATTTTTCGTGAGCCTGCACGAATCCATGAATAGCTCTGGAATAAAGAAAGACGTATGTACATGAAATCAGTGGAAATATGAAAATGTGCATTTTGAATACAAACTATTAAATTCGTTTCAAGAAATTCTTTCTAAACAACTTCCTAGGAAAATAATCGTTAATTAATCTTGAATTTTTAAAGAATATTTTTTAAAGGTCTTTCAGAGGAATAATCGCATATTCTTAAGGAATATTTGTTTCGAAGGATTTTCCGACAATTTTCAAGGATTACAGAAAAAGTTCTTCTGTACTGATATGACCCGTTATTTTCAATAGAAATGTTAATTACCAAACTCTATCCACAAAATACGATTTGAACTTACCTTACAGCGCTTATTTTCAAAACTATAGCCTTATCGTCCTGCAAACTTTGCAAGGTGACATTCAAAATCTCCTCCAACATTTGGGCATTATACAATTTCGATTTGGAATATGTGCTCAATGTCCACAAGGCACGTCCCACCAAATGTGGACACTCTTGATGATTCAACCAATTGCGTACCAAAGTCAAATAATTTAACAATTCAAATTTATCTTCCGATTCTAAAATCAAATCACGGAAAACGTGAACTGCAACCATACAAGCTTCTTGAATTTTCCACCAATTTGGATTGCCGGCAGATTTTTCAGCTTCGGCAACATTCATGTGACGACCGAGGGCTTCTTGCAAGGCTGTTAAAACCTTGGGACCCAGCTCTTCATTCAAGGCCTGCAATAAACAAATATTTTGTAATTGAATGTGAAAACAAATGATATGTCTGTCCTCCTCTAACTTACCACCAACACATCTTGGCCAGAGACACGAATGGTCAACTCCACCCCCGCATCATCTTCGTCTTCAACAAATCGTTCAGGATCCTCATTCCAATCTTCGATTTGTTCAACGGGAACTTGTATATACACAATCATAATATAAATCAAATCGGTGAGAACATTTTTAATGGTTGAACGGAATTTGCCAGCACCAATTACACATTGAACAAATTCAATAATTTGTATGATCATGGCAGAGAAATTATTCAATTCATCATATGTGTGGTTGAATGTATTTGGGCATTTCAGTTACCAAGTGGGTGAGAACTGGAAGAAGTTACAATTAGTAAAATAAAAAAAATTGAGGATAATTGAGGTTGGTCACTTACTTTTAACAATTTCCGTTCTCAACATAAAATTCGATGAGGCCCCGCAATCCATTGACAAATAATGCATAAGTTTTTCCATGAAATTGGTCAAAATGGAATTTGCCATATTGGCCTGTTCCTGTTTATCCATAATATTAATACTTATCGAAGCAAACAATGGCTTCAGTATGCGTATGGCTGATGTTCTTGTTTTGATGGAATAATTCTGCTCCGACTCGAAAATACGATAAACCTCCGATATGATAACTGGTCCCAATTCCTTTATCTGTTTCTCATCGTATGAGAAATCTTGTAAAATTTGCATGGCACCATGTATGGAATTCTCATTGCCACCCAAACATTTAACAATAATATCAAACAATTCAGTCCAGACACCAGGCCAATCGGTGGCAGCAATTGCCGAAATTGCATGGGCCACCGATGAACGTATCTTTGAATTGGGATCATACAAGCCATTTGGCAATATGTTGCGTATTGTTCGCTTGGCTTGATCCGTTGCCAGACCGCCATCTACATTGGGGTTGCCTTCTTCATCGCATTCACCCCAACGATTTTCCACATAACGTGTTAGCATAATGCAAGCCAGCTGCCTAAGGGCCAAATCAAATGATTGGTTCATTATCAATTCAGACAAATACACGCCATAACCTAAAAAACACATACGCCACCAAACATGAGTCTAACAAATAAACAAATATTTTTAAATTATGTGACACCTTACCTTCTGTAAATTCTAATTGTTTCATACGCTGTTCTGCCGATTGTCGTACCGCCGAATCGGAACTGAGCAAACTTTGTAACTCCTCGAAAAGAGCCTGTTTAACAGACTCGGCATTTTGGAAAGCCAGTGACATGTTTCTTAATAGTTTCTTGCTTAATTGAAATTAAATTTATAGGAATTGCTGTCCATTCGGTGAAAAATCTACAAAAATATATTTGTTGTTTTTAAATATAGTAACATAAATTATAAATAAAAAAACATATCAGCAACTGTCATATTTTTGTCTGACAACTATTTACCAATTTATTGTATTTTGAAGCATACTTTTAGGAGAAATTATTTTTGGCGCGTTTAGACTGTTGCGTTTATCGTGATAATGGGCGTTATTCTGATTTAATTGCTAAATCGAGTTGAATTTACTTCGAATTACCATACAAGATTGAATTCAATCTCGATATGAAACCAGTGAAATGTGTATGTATACGTAAACAAATAACAGCTTATAAATCAACTTTATACTTCGATTTAAAAATCAACTCAATTTAGAAGGCATAGTCTAATCTAGGTTTTTTATATGGGGATTTCACGGTAATCCCTAGGCGAAATCGTTGCGTTGCATTCCTTTTTTAGGGCTTTAGTTATATAACCTTTTGCGTACATTTATTTTCTATTTGACAGAAGAAGCCATTACCTACAGAGTTGATATTTTGTTATTCACATCATTAGTTCATATCTTGTATTACTGTACCATGGTTACCCTGTATAATTATATCATAAACATTATGAAAATATGGATTGAAAAACTTCTCATGTACATGTCGTTTTATCGTGTCGTATACGCTATGGAATTGACACTTGATATCGAGTGGATTTCGCAAATCTAATTGCAATTTAATAAAAATGAAGAAAGAAACAAAACGATCATCAGCATTTCCTTATCTATTATTTTCATTGTCAATGTGCTGATTACGTCGACGTTCATACAATTGGTCTGTTCCCGTACTGCAAGAATCTACTCGATTTTACTATTTTCTTCGATATCATAAAGGAAAATTCGTTATCATAGTAAAAACTAGTAGATTTTTGCAGTACGGGAACAGACCAAATGTGTTTTTTGCCATGGGGGGTGATACAAAATAATTCTCAAGTTTTATCACAGATAAACACTTACTGCAATGCTTCTTCTCTTCATCAAGAATATCTTTTCTATTATGTACCTTAATAGCTGTGATTTGAACATGTTCACAATATCAAAATTGTAAATATAATGAATGCACTTTGAGTGTCATTACTGTAGAACTGATAATGAAACCAATCAGAAACATTAATGATCGATAAATGTAAGATGCCACAACAAAGGATGATAGCTTTAGTATGTCGATAGTATTCGTATTGAAAATAAGAATAATTTATTTTTGATTAATATTATCATCTCATCTTTTCTTCTTCCTTTATGATAATTTATTTGACATATATAATGGAATTGACAATTTAAATCTACTGGATTTACCGCAATCAAAAACAATACTGCTCAAATGTCAATTTCATAGCGTTTATCTCAAATATAATCCACTGGATTTGTGAACATGATTAAAGTGACTCATACCCTATGGAATTGACATATGAGATCCAGTGGATTTAGTAGCCTAAAGGCGTTCTATTTATTATTATCCAACATAATTTAATAAATCCTGTTAAACCGACATTTATATTAAAACTTTAACATCCTCTATGAGGATTTATTTGACAAATACTAATGGAAATGACAATTTAACCCCTTGGGTAAACGAAATCCAGTAAATGTACTATTGAACGACATGTACATTAGACCTTTGGCAGGGTTAACCTCCTTTATGAGGCTTTATTTGACAAATACGTAATGGAATTGACTATTAAAACCCACTGGGTTAACTTAGTCCTTTACAATGTAAACGTACAATTGGCCTCATCTATGATTATTCATTTCATGATGCAATAATATGGTGATGTATCAAAACAAAAACATTTGTTTTTGTCTCTACCATCTGTGAAATTTTTCCATATAATATTTCACATGGTTGGCAACATTGCACATCGAATCCATGTAGAAATTACACACTTTGACAGTTAATCAAGACATCAGCTGCTCTAAACGGACTACCTATTTATTGTGCCATATGTAAAGGAATTTACAATTTATGGTGCTTTTACACGATATGTATTTTACATATGTGCTGTCACTTTTTCCATCCATATGTAATTCCTTATGTGTGTCAAAATTAGCAGCGTCCACACGACTTTTGAGTTCAAACCTATATATGTATTTTCATATGACATAACCTATAAACAAAACAACATAATTTAAATCAACATAATTTTTTTTATTAAACACCTATAAACAAAATGACAATTTATAATTTTTGCTTTTTCATCCTTTTCTTTGACTTTCAATTCAAATATATTCTTCCAACAGTGTGTTTCTTTCAAACAGCTGATTTCCTTATGTTTCACATACGAAAACAGAGAGCGGTCCTATTAGGAAAAAATACATATGTAAATGCATATCGTTTTGACACATTGACATTTTCGTATGTTTCACACGACGAGTTCGAGTTGCATATGTAAATAAAGTGACAGCACATATGTAACATGCATATAGTGTAAAATCACCTAATTGAAATTGACGATTTAGATCTACTACATTAAACGGTATTGTATTTTGAAGATTTTGGACAAAATGAAATAAAATACAAATTTGTAAATTATTTTTTGTTTTATAATAAATTAATGTACCATTTTCAAGACTACCCCAACAAAAAATCTTTTATCTTTTTATTTTCTTCTCTCCGCTTTTCCTATGGGAAAATTATCAGCATTAATAATCTCCGGTCATTTGGATGACTTATTATTTTTAGTATATGATTTTCCCCTTATTACTTTCAAAACAGCTTTTATTTAATTGTAATTTGTGTGTGTGTGTGTGTTTATTTGCCAAACTGAAGTGCAATCGAAATGTATTATTGTGACAAGTGTTGAGGAGGTACTATTTTCACATGGATTTACTAATAAACAAAACAACAATGGCCAAATCACGTATCAAATGAACCCTATTCCCTAAAACAAATACTTGACAAGCATGAAATATTTTTTTATGCATAATACAACTCTAAAAAGACTTTCTCCTAATATATTGTTTCCTTTAAACATGGACCTATAATGAATCTACCTATGAAAATTCCTGATTTCTTAATTGACTTTTGATGATAAGTGCTGACGCCAATTCTCTCAAGTATCTATGCGTGTAAAAATAAAAAGTTGTAAAAAAACAAATGTAATTAATTACTGATAACAATTATCATTGTTATTGTTAAACATTTTGTAGCTGCTATAATTAAATCGAAGATAATAGAAACGAACATGCAAATTTTATAATTACAAATACAAATAACATCGAATCCAAGTAGAAATTATGCACTTTGACAGTTAATCGAGTGCCATTAATTGTGGCATGGTTTCTGGAACAGTTGACTCTTCTGTCAATTTTTCCTTATAATATTTCACATGATTGGCAACACTACACATCGAATTCAAGTACAAATTACGCATTTTGACAGTTAATCAAGACATCAGCTGCTCTAAATCCACTCGATCTCAAATGTCAATTCGATTGCTTATGGTGTTTTTACACGATATGTATTTTACATATGTGCTGTCACTTATTTCATCCATATGTAATTCCTTATGTGTGTCAAAATTAGCAGCGTACACAAAACTTTTTTTTTTGTGTTCAAATCGGCATATGTATTTTACATATGACATAACCTATAAACAAAAAAAAAAAAAAACACTTTTATTTTTTCGTAAATCAACATAATTTTTTTGTATTAAACACCTACAAACGAAATAATAATTTGTAATTGTTGTCTTTTCATCCTTTTCTTTGACTTGCAATTGAAATATTTTCTTCCAACAATGTGTTTCATTCAAACAGCTGATTTCCTTATGCTTCACATAGGAAAATAGAGCGCGTCCTATTCGGAAAAAATACATATGTAATTGCATATCGTTTTGACACATTGAAATTTCCGTATGTTTCACATTACGAGTTCGATTTCCATATGTAAATAATGTTACAGCACATATGTAAAATACATATCGTATAAAAACACCATTATACGTCAAATATAATCCACTGGATTTGTGAACAGGGTTAACGTGACGTGTACGCAATTAGTCTAAACGCAGCCTAAGTGTATCTGAGTACAATTGACATTTGAAATCATAGTATAAAAACACCATTATACGTCAAATATAATCCACTGGATTTGTGAACAGGGTTAACGTGACGTGTACGCAATTAGTCTAAACGCAGCCTAAGTGTATCTGAGTACAATAATAAAAGGTAGAAAAACTTGAGGTGAATAACAAAAAAAGCAACTCTGTGGGTAGTGGTTTCTTCTGTCAAATATAAAAGACATATACGCAACAGATGGTTGTGTTTGTTTAACATTTATTAACATATAACTAAAAATGCAAAAAATTAATAAAATTATATGATGTCTTTCCAAAATCGAGTATCGAGTTCGTAGTGAAGAATATCGACTGAATTTTATTTTTTTCTGCTTCTTTTCAGGTTCCAAAATATTACAAACTGTAACATTTGACAACTTTAATACAGACAAAGATCTACAGATGACATCTAAAGGTACCATACAAATAAGCGATGGCAAGGAGACAATTGAATTCGAATTGGTCACATCTAGTGACACAATAACTCACGTGCGTGTAATACGTGAGAATGTTGCCGATAATGGACAACCAATGGATTGTTTCGATTTAGATATGGCTTCAACACATTGGTATGGTGGCCCTGAAGATCGTTATCAATACTATCCCGTAGAACGTTTAACATTTGAAGATTATTCCTATGTCACAAAAGAGGACCATAATGCCGGTGTTGCCGAACGTTATTGGCTTAATTCAAATGGTCTATTCATTTATGTGGAAACCGAGACGCCATTATTCATTACTCAAAATGCCAAAGGTTATGAGAATAAATTGTGTTTATCGGCCCATAATAGTTTACCCTATAATACCCGAGCCAAATCGCGTAGTTTTGTTTATCACATTGGTGTTGGAGATAATGCTAAAACGG